ACAATCACTTATCATATATGTTACTTACATAGAACATACTACACATTATTCATTACTTTACACTCTGAACACTGATTAAGGTAATTTATAAGCAACAATGGTGACAATAATGCCATTCTTTACTTATTGAGTACAGTTGAACTTTGTACCTATCCGTGGATAGTGTTTTAGTTATTTTATGTAAGAAAAAGGTCATTCTATAGAAAGTAAAATATGTATAAACTATTGGTTAAAGTTGAGTTAATTTTGTGGGGCAGTCTTGCTTGAAGAGTATTCTTTCTTCGTTTTAGGTGGTAAATCATTGGTATCAGTATTATTTTTTTAAATTTTCGATTTACGTTTTTAAATTGTGAGAATATGATGATCGATTTAAATCAATAAGTATTTATAGATTCAATTCGAATCAACGACTGGCTGCAAATGCATTTATGTGTAACACGTGGGATGTATTATTAAACAGTCGCTATCAATATATTATTATATTATTGTTTCCGCGGCCATTAAAATGAAAAATGGGAATCGATTATACTGCATAAATTATACCATTATACGTATAGTGTGAAGGATAAAAAACATGTTTTGTTCTTTCACAAGTCAACATTTTCAAAAAGATTACGTTGTGGTTCGGAATCGGGCGGAAGAAATTAAGAAAAAAAAAAGTCATAAAACACTAGTTAACCTCAACACGTCTTAAACACGAGTCAGAGACAGCTCCGTCGTTTGCAATATTTCGCATATGTACCTTATTTTAGTTCACCATTATTCATTAATATTTAATAGGTAGGTATATATTATTATATACTATATGAAAAACAACAATATACTTCCCAATAATGTAATAGCGTCTACATGGAGCATACTATTATAACCACAGTATATAATATAATAATATTTGATATGTGTTAGAACAAGCTTTTAATAAAATCTCGACATGATAATTTATTCTAAATTAATTTCTCATGTTAAACAATAATAATAAGTATAAATACGATATTAATGTTTAACCAGCTGCCGGAAACGATCCGACCGGTCTCCGAAGTTCGCGACGCCGCCTAATAACGCATATATATAGGTAATAGCCGGTAATAATGATATACCTAATAATAATACCAACTCGCCCTGACGGCGATAATGTCCGCAAAGTCTCTTGTTGTATTACAACCATTAATTATTATTATTTTAATATAATATTGTGATGCACAACATAATATTATAACGCATTATCTATCGCGAGTATTCCGCAGCGTATTGCAGGCTCTGTGCAATGACTGTCCCATACAATATCGTGTATAAATTGGCGCGTGCGATACGAGCACAATATATTTGTATAATATTATGCGTTGTCCTCGTGCCAATATAATAATAATATAATATGTACACAAGCACAATTATTATTATTATTATTATTAAACATCGTAACGTTACGGACCGTTTGTATAATGTGCACTACCGCCGGTATCTGTTTAGCTGCAGCGAAAAATATATATACCTATATATTATTATACATATAGTGCTATATACTTATCTATACCTACATAATATAATACGTACACGATATACCTCATAATATGTACCTATAATATTTTATATATATGTGTGTGCATTTGTCGGTACACGGCCACGCGGGCAAGTGAAAGATCTCGGGGAAATTGAGCAAATTTCGTATTCGCGCGAACCGGGGCCGCGCGGCGAAAGAAACGCACACGCAAAGTATAATGTATAAAACGTGTTTTGTTATTAAACCTTTTCTCTCCGATTGCGTTTAAAATTATACAATAATAAATAATAATAATATGAGCTATACGCTACCGAGTTGTAATGTACCGACACAGAATACGTGTTGCGAAACTTCCGCCGCCGCAGTGCACGATATATTAATTTGTACGGCGGTGAGTTGATATTAATGAATAATAAATATAATAATAAGTAAGTAGGTAGGAATATAAATGGAATAATAATATGAATCCGATTTTTGTTTAGTTTTTTTTTTTCAATACAAATAAAGCTAAACTAAATTATTAATGAACGACGACTCGTCGACGAGCACAATACAGCGCGGAAAACAACAGAACTCCTAATTCATAAAACCGAATTTTTACTACCGTGGCAGCTGCAGACAGGTACCTAACCGGATTTGTATGATTTGGTTTCCTGATTACGAATATTTTAATTTTTAATTTACTTAAATATTCGCAAAAACAAAATCGAAGATATAATTCGCAAATATCACGTCGTTGCACGTTCGATTTTATAGATTTTTTGCTTTCCAATTTACCGCTGTAATTTTTTAGTAAACAGAATTTGAGAATTTAATGAGCTGTAACGATGCGTTAGCCGTTACTAGGTTAAGGTTTAGCGACAATTTATTTAAATTAATTTTTTTTATGTAAATACACATATTATATTTTATATGTATATATTATAATGATGTATGTGTTATTATAACGATTAAGCTATCCCATTTACAAAAGATTCTATATGTCACCATAATATTTAAGAACCATATGTGTACATTGCCGCCGGGTGGTCTGAATAACGATTTTGTACCTATCTTGTATTTAATAATAGATTTCATCGTTCGTATTTATACTTATTGTTTTTTTTTATAGATGGAAATCTGGCAGAAAATTAAATATTTAGATGTTATCAGCGATTGTTGTATAAAATATACAAATGAAACACGTATAATTATACCTGTATATTTATTTAGGTAAGTGGAAATAATAATATTACAATGAAAATATATAGTTACACACATTTTTTGTTCAACTCAGCATATAAAAATTTTTTTTTAAGATTTTGAGGGATTTTTATACGTGAATTAATTTTCAATGAGTATTATAAGTTTTGAATTTGTTATCGATACGTGTGACCAGAGTACGATAATATACCTATAATGATTATTTATTTATTCTGTTAAGACTGAAGAGTAAGGTATTAGTTATATTAAGATTACTCGATAAGGGATCCAGGGATCAGGAGCTAATATTTTTGGATACAGCTGTCACCATATGAAGTTATATATTATATTTTTAGGTATTTTACATACCTAGTTCTCAGAGTTTTGCTTAATGCTTTGACCTCACTTGTGCTTTTTAGTTTTTGAAAAATGACAACCTCTATATATTTTAATATTAAAACTGCGTGGTTGAATTAAACGGTTTTCAAGCAATTGATTTCTAAAACGTTTTAAACTACATTGACACCACAGACAATGTATAAAATATGCACGACCATTGTATAGGACACATGTGGTCGGCGGCTAATGGCTTTTAATAAAAGCCATAGTGCTAAACTTTAAAACAATAATTAAGTTATGGTATATTTATGTATAAATACATGGTGATGTCATAAGCATGCTCCCCTCCATTTTCTCTTTAATAATACAATTATTCAAATTCTGATCTTTATAATTTTTAAGTATAGATAAGATCATATTTTTAAATTTTTTAAATTCTGATATTCATATGATATGATATTGTATTATTGGTCATTAGGTGACATATTATATCGTGTAATGTGAGTAAATATAGTGATATTTTTTAAAATTTTATCATTATTACTAATTTTAGTTTTGAAGATTAATTACTATTTTATTATATTGATGACCAAACTTTATTTACTTATAAAACAAGATTAATGATAGTTATTTGAGAGGTAAAGTAGTTATTTATAGTTATTATAAATAATACACAACATAACACAATACGATTTGTGTTAGTTAACGTATTTTTTAGATTAAAAAATAATATTGTAGTCAACACTAAATGTTGCAAACACAAATACAACACCTATACATAATATGATGTTTAACATTAAAATAAATTCATATTAGATAAGTGAACTTAATTAGTCATACTGGTACCTACAGTATCTATTATTTTCAAAATTTGGTGAAATATATCTTATATTACATAAAAAATACATTTTCTTTCGAAATATTGTATACCTCAAACTATAGTGCCCTATAATATACAATTATACACGCGTATAATATTATATTATATAGATCGCGACAAGGGAACAAAAATATAATTAGAGTAACGTAATTACTTACGACAACCGTCCGTCTGTCGAGATCCGTGACGTGACGATAATAATGCTACAATTTAAAACGATATTATCGTGCGTAACATTTCGATATATATCTATTTTCGATGTAGTATAGGTACCTAAGTGTCTACCTATACATACCTTATGCTTTTGCGAAACGGCATTTAGATACCATAAATAAATTATTATTATTAAAGTGGCTCGAGAATACGCGTCTATAATAGCATTATTATTATGTATAGCATTGTTATTAAACGTGACTCAAATTAAAAAACACAAATACCGGAGTTTTTTTCTCAGAACCCGCGATGAGGACGATACTTCTATGCCCACAACCCACCACTATACCAGCGGGTACGATATTATTATATAGCTGGCCGTCATTATTATATATTTTGCGGTCTGTCATTACTCGCCCATACGAGAATATAATATCGGGGATTCGTCTGCGGAAAAAAAACACACACACACCGCACCACACATGTCCGCCGCATACGGAATTCCAGCGAGATCCGGGGGGACTCGCCGCATCTGCCGGGTGACCCCGTGCGTAAGCATATTATACCTATATACCGCGATATACATGGCGTGCAACAAGTATTTTATTATTACTATTATTATTATTATTATTATTATTATTATTTATTATACATTTATCGTCGTATGCGCTATATTGTATTATATTATGGTCGCTTGTCGTTTTTACGATATATGTTATAAATTATAATGTGGGACGGCGTCAAAGGGTTGAGGAGAATAGGTCGTCGAGATACTTTCGAATTTATCGTTCATTAGTCATTCGTTATTTTACGATCCCGAGCCCATAATAAATAATATATATAGTTCGTACACCCCGCAACCGGAAGATAACCGCGGTATACGTGGTCGTGTCCGAGTATTTTAATAACGCTGCACATTATAAGGTATAAACGATGCATTTCACTTACCGACGGTCCAAAGCACTGCAGCTGCGAGTTCCACGAACATCGTTATTTCTGTATTATGTTCTTGTCGCCGGCCGAAGGGCTACGTTAGTTGTGATGTTCGGACGACTAGGGCGATTTAAAAACAACAACAATAATACCGTCTTCACGACACGATATTCGGTAGATTTGCGAAGTCAAGGTGCAGTGCAGTCGTTTTCGATGTTCCGTTTGATTTCTCAGCTCGACTTGACGAGGAGACGACGATGTTGGTGTCGTGTATTTTTGGCGTATCAATACAATGTAATGTAATATTTGTTATTTGAATGAAATGTGTGACGGATATTGGAATACGCGGACCACGCGGTGCGGACGTATTGCAGCTAGCGCAGACGCCGATTGTCTGTGAAGTGTGAAGTAGTCCGGGAGCCGGGGAGCCCAACTCGTGTCGTTGCACTGGAGCAAGTCTTCGCGTGCACGCGCTCCCTGGCGGCGGCCGACGGAGTCGGTGGCGCGCGCGCGCTCGTTGCTCCGTTATTGCAATAATAATTATAATATAATATAAATTATGATTTACAAGAACAATTATTATTATCTGTACAGTATACAATATACATAAATATATCATCAAATAATACAGTCTTTTAAATAATTATTGTATTTTCTAGCATTGTTATTATAATTATTAATTAGTAATTACTAATATCCTCGTTGCCGCCGTCGCCGCCGTCGCCGCCAACGCCGTCTGACGAATCCGGTTTTTTGCACGCATATTATACACGATAACTAACCAACGACGTTTACCCACTGGACATGCACCAGAATTTTTTTTTATCAATGTCACCTCATCACGCACATTTCATAGAGAACTTTAAATTTTAATAATATTATACGTGTTACTAGAAAAAGTGGAAATTAGGCAAACTTAGTAATACCTACATTACAATAGGGATTGTATTGTTTTATGGTCATATTAGTATAGTAAAATGTTATTCTTAAAAATTAAAAATCACCAAAAAGAAATTCACAAATATACTATCTAATAATTAGTTGATAAATTGATTATTATAATAATAATAAATATAATATAACTATAGCAAATACAATTTTAATTCATTATAGTAGGCACATATAATAATAATAAAAATTAATACAAAAATATAAAAAAAAAGGATTTCATATGACTTTCAAAATCTTGTAATATTTGTTATTTACACTATCTATACTCAGATTGTAAGCATTTTGAAATTTAACAATGAATACATTTTAACAGCTTACCCATAATTAGAACATTTTTTGATCAGTCTTAAAAAAAATTATAGTATAATTATACTTGCACAATAATATTAATTTTGTAGTTATTTATATTTAATACTAAACAACTAAACAATCATTGTAAATTTGTACCATATGAAAATTGAAAAATATTCAAATGACGTTGGTCACAAGTCACATAACTGACAATATTAGGTTTCGCGTTCAAGTTTGTGTTGGGTGTGTGTGTTTGTGTGGGTGCATGAGTTTTTGTTTGTTCATAAAAGCATAACGATTATCAGTGTCTACAGCTGTTGTCTCCATCTTTACAAGAAAGCGGTGGTTTCGTAGAAGCACTCAATTCAGACCCAATACAGATGAAGAAGATACCATCTAATATATTATATAGGTATATCTTATATTTTGTGCAGGTTGGTACCTATCATGATTTGCACAGACCTAGGTATACTCTGGCCAGCGAGAGAACGCGCCGTGGGCCGACCAAAATCGGTGTTTTTAACGTGACACCAGTTTCGGTAGCAGAATGGCGGGAAATGGGGAGGGGGCTAGTTGTGGAGAATTGCCTCGTACTCTAGCTAAACTATAAAATAATATGTTTTCACTGGCCCGCTGCAGTTGCTGGTATACAATTTGTATTAATGATAACAGTGAGGTATACCATGTCCCATGATTTATTTTTTCTTTGTAACCGCAGCATATGTCTAAGGACGAACCACATTCGTAAGACTTGTCCCTTCGATATAGGTACTAAGATATCCAACATGGTAAGTATACCTACTGAGTTGATGTACAATCGAATGCTTGATTAACATAGTATAGTATAGGTATTTAAAAAGTATTCGGAATACTACCCGAGTATAGCATGGCGTATTGGCGTGTATAATATTAATATATTATAATATATGTATCTGGTATTGTATTAGTGGTATAAATTTTTTTTTGTATATAATATACTCTACAGCTGTATTAGTGATATTATAACTATGGATTACAATTTGCAGCAGCACTTAACTTTTTGTGTATGAAACTAGAATGGATGAAAACAAAGTCGTCTGTCGATGAGCTTTGCCGGGAGCAAGCGATTTCGAATTTATAACGGTATTTATTACCATGCGTGGTAGATTATAATATACACTCTGTACACGCCCACTTCTTGCGCCTATAATGAGTTATTACTTACTTATACAAATAGTTATGTAATATAAATATAATGGTATTGTATTACATACACGATACCTATGTCCAAGCCAGTGGAGCCACTAGTCAAACTGGGGCTCCAGTATCATTTTTTTTTATAATGGGGCCTAGGGGCGCTAATTTAAGATTTTTTTATTTCATTTACGATTGTCATTGTATTTAAAACATCACTTTGTCAATTAACGTAGGATTCTTACACAATTTCTATGGTATCAAATATGAATATACATTTTTTCAAATTAAAAAAATAATACGGAAAGAAGCTATTGTTGGTTTGGCGGTTTGGCCGTTGTGGCCTCATGTCAGTTATATTGGGGACCCCAGTGATCGATACTCCCAGTTCTCTCGGAATTTCACCACTGGACCGGGATCACCTTCCAAAAAAGTACATTTTACTCACTTAAATATTACACACGTCGATGGTTTGGCGATTTTCTATTTTACTGAAATATATTATAGGTATAAATAATAGTTATTATATTATTATTACGTTATGTCGTTATCCATGTTCGATTTTCAATTCGAAGAATTACGTTATCTTATGATCTGAATAGTAGGATATAATATAGAAACCCTTCTCTCATCCGTTTGTTGAAATCGACATGATTTTCAAAAACACCATAATCTTAACAGTAAATTACCCATATATTTTCTGGTTAACGATTTCTCGGTTGCGGTGCGTCTATTTTGATACATCGTCATAATAGTCACTAGGATTCAGAGTTATTTGATTTTTTGTTTGATTATACAATCTATCATATTTTCCCCCAGGATAAGGATAAAATCGTACCTATACAGGTATGTATTATATATTTATATGAAATGGAATAACAATAAGGTAGAAATCGTTATCGTATCTTTATCCATTACCTTAATTAAATATTACACACTGCAATCATGGCGTTGAGAATCGGTTTTGTTATATTTTTTATGTACATTTTTCACAATCGTTATTCGACAATATTAAACTATAGTCTATAATACATGTGTCACGTATGCCATTGACATAATATTGTTATGTTTATAGTATATTTCGGGTTGAATATCCTGCGCGTGGACGAGTAATCAATTTTATCGTATTTCATTAACAACATTATTTATTTTCTATATTTATACCATACAATATTGATTTTAGCTTATACTGATAAGGCTATTAGCAGTATACGAAATTGATAACATAATAATATAGTATATTTAATTCAACGAAACACATTGTATACAAGTATACAACTATTCAAGTATTATCTACTATGCATAGTTGATAGTTAAACCGGAGTATAATTTAAGTGAGAAATGTTTAAACAAACGTATAAATGAAATACCTATTGGCTATCATTACATTTTTTATATATTTAAAGGCTTATAATATAATATTTTTATTTCTTGAAAATGTACATCATTTTCTGTTATAATAATAGCTCATACGATTTTAACAACGATTTCCAACTATTTTGGTTGTTATAACCTTATCAACATAAAATATGTTTTTGGACTGGGTACACGATAAAAATGTTTCTGATCGATTTTTCATGAGGGTTTCGTTGTCATGATGATTATTTATTAACGAAAAACATATTTATGATTCGTAGATTTTCCTTGTAAAGGAATAACATCGAGTAGCGTGCTATGGTTTCTATTATATTATGGTGTTCTTTGAATTCATGATTTTAATTGCATTTGTTTATTGAGGTCCAGACAGTGGCATCAATTGTGAGACACAATGGTATGCGTTTGTACCCTACACGATTTTATTTTATTACATATGTAAGTTAGTCTACGCAATTTTTTATCGGTTTTATACCTATATTATCGAGTAGGTACTTACTACCTACTTATCTACATAATACATTGATTATACGTTTATTTCAATTCCATGGAATAATGTGAAATTACGAAACCAATTGAAAATTATCATACTTATCTTCAGTCTAAACGACATTACGATTTGTTATAGATAGGTACCTGCTTATCGGGTAGAGAGAAAGTATTTCGTTAAGTACTGGAAATTGTTTTAATAAACTGGTTAATTGTCGTAGGTCAAGCTTACACAGAAAATTACACAGATCAAAAATGTTCACGAAGTATATTTTCACAATTTGATATAAACAACAGTATAAATAAAAATATTTTGCATAGCCGACTGACCAAAGCATTTTGTTATTTTATTAATAACAAGCGCAGAATTGTACATTCTGTTTAATCTGTAATCACACGTTTTTTTTTGTTCGAGCTTTGGCAGTGTTTTATACAATAGTTTAATATTTAAACTGTTTTTCGTTTTGTGTTTAATACTATATAGTGTTTATCTAACACCCGACTAGTGGGTAGAATTTGAGTGATCGTTGATAATTCAATTATGTGCCTTAATTGTCGGATTAAATTAATTATACCTATTGTTAATATTATTGTAATCGTAACTCATATCTTATACTATTAAATAGGTAGGAAATCACATTTAACGTAGTTAATTTTGAAACTATTAATATTCATTACTTCCCTACCAATCTATTATCATGCATAGCCAGCGTAATATATTTTATTAACAAAATGTGTTGAGGTTAAACCTAGATGTTTTAAAGAAAAAATGTCTGAAGACATATACATATAAATGACCCTGAAAACCAGACGTATATAGCAGTAATAGCAAAAAGTACCCTCGCACGTAGTCACGTACATCGTATAATATGTCCTGATTTATAATGTAAGTTTAAACAATTCAAAATTGAATTATATAGTATATATATAAATATGTAACAAATAACTAATGAATAATGTTGTACTTTTCAAATAATATAATTGTTGAGGTATAATAGTTTATGCAAGAAAAAAAGTATATATATTATGAATAATTTACGCCAATAATAAAAATAAATAAATAAAATGTTGTACCTACCTCTAATTTTTCAAATTTATCTTATTAAAACGGTAAACGCGTTATCTGAAGTCTAAGCAACACGTGT